TTTGGCATTGCGTATTATATGGCTATGCCCATATTGAATTTCATGCAATTCAGTTTCATAACTAACGGAGATGTAAAAGCGATCGAACATTTCTAAACAAAGTTATCGTTCACACGGACAGATAGATGGACAGACAGACAAAGGAAGAGACGGACAGACCAACCGGCAGGCGACAGATAGCAATGCAAAATTATAAACGATCTCTAGGATCGTTAATAAACGGCAAAAGTGTAAAATTATGGAACATGTAAAAAAAACGGTTTTTTGTTTTTTTTACAATAACTTTTTTTGTAAGCGGTACAGAAAAAATTCCTTCCTTGGTACAAGACTCGACACCATAACGAACCAAATAGCGAAAAAAGTAGAACAATAGCTCTAAAGATAAAAAACTAGTAGCGTCGCAAAGTTAGCGGACGGACGGACGGACGGACGGACGGACAAAGTGGCCACAATAGCGCATTTTTTTTTATTTTGTGGAAATGCGCTAAAAAATGCGAATATGTAAGATTTCCTCTCTCTTTTCAATTGAAAATGGTGAAAACTGTATTGGCGCTTGGTGTGTGTGGCCAGATCTGTGCGATGTCAGTACTTTGGTATGATTAATGTGCGGTTCTCGGCAGGTAGGATCGGCCCTATATGGCTCACAAAAATTGAGTATTCCTCTTGAAAATTAAAAAAACACCACAAATGAGGAGTCATTGACCTCGAAAACATGGCACTGATCTTCCACAGTAGATGATGCTCAACGGAGTTCGCTTTCAAGGTTATTAGAGGCACTTGGCGGTGACCTTGGAAAGTAGGTCAAGGTGAAATAGAGGTCCTTTAATTTCCCTCTCTAGGGTGCCACGTGGAGATTTCGGAAAATGTTTGATAAGTAGTTGACTACTCCCTTTCTCCAAGAAAAAGTGAGAAGTAGATCAGAAGACATCTTTTGGTCGCCCACTCCACAAGTAGGTGCGATATTTACCCTAGAAATAATGACCATGGAAAGTTATACACTTTAAACTTTACTAAGCCATTATAAAGCGTTTCAAATATTATTATGTCATGGATAGCGTACGCTGAGCTCTCATGAACAAAGCAAGAGATATCTAGGTATATAAGGATATTCTAAATCAACTCTATGTATAATTCCATAAGGCTAAATTCAGGGGCCTTCAAGGTATCTATATCTTCTCCTGATGAGGAAGTTCAAAGGTTGGTCGACATTCAAAGTACAAAGTTTGCTCGCACCACTCAAAGTGCAGAAATTGGTTGCCGTTCAAAGTGTAAAGATTAGTCGCGATTCAAAACCCCAGTTTGTGGTGTCACTTCATTTTTGAGATAACCAAAGGTCAATGACCACAGTCTTATGGAATTATCAGGTAAACACGCTGCGCTTTGTGAGAGGGAAATACAGAAAAACGCTTATTTATAAAAGTTTCTTTATAATGATTGTTGAATAATCTACTGTTTTCAAAAAAGTGAAGTAAAAAAGTTGTCTGACTTAACCTGATTTTTTTTAACGACCGCCCTTTTTTTTCAAAAATATAACATAAAAAATGCAATATTGGATAAAAATTTAAAAAAGATTTGAAAAAGTTAAAAAACCAAAAATCTTTAAATATTTTGTATTTTTGTAAATAATTTTATCATTTTTTAATAATAATAATAATATGACTTTAATACTGCAGTAGCCATATAACAAATGAGACAGTTACCATTAAAAAAAGCAATTAAAGAGAATTGTAAAAAATTGATTAAAAAAAATTATTAAAGAAAGAAAAAAAATTAGTGTAGGTAAAGAAAAAAAATAAAATGTTTTATGATCTTTTTTGAATTTTTTTGTGTCACTTGAAACGTGAACTTGGAAAGAGAATTAAATATACTATCTTTTTAGATTAAAATATACAGGGTGATTCAACAATCAATGTAAACAAATTTTTGGAATAAACATTTTTCTGTATCTCTTAACTATAAATATAAGGCGATTCTAAAATTGATAAAGCTTTTATTTTCCTCCGTATCTCTTAAGCGAGCGCATATTTTCAAATTTTGATTTTACCATTAGTTTTACTCAAGAATTTGACGTCTATATTACATGTTTGATAGCACTACAAAGATACCCTATAATAGTGTCGCAAATGGGACACCCTCTGCTTTATTTTTGTGTATTATATATTTTCTATTTATGTTGGAACCCTTACAAATAAACAAAAACTGGAACCAGAACCGAGATTGTTGTCACAGAACCGGTACCGAAACCTTCGATAAATAATTCTAAGTTCTAAGTAGTGGCGAACGAAAACGAACCTATAATTCTCCTCTGGCCAGGGGCTGACTGACCAATCGGTCGATCGGGCGTTTGCCTGATGGGCAGGTATAAATCAAGATTGATGGTCCGCTAAATGATCGATATATTTGAAATTATTTTCTGCATGTAAAAAATTGGTCTGAAATGGTAAATAACATTGTGTTCATGAATGCCTTATGATTTGAGTTATAGACACATTAACCAAAAGCAGAACCATAGCAAGATTATTGACGTATGTAATGAATGACGTTATAAAAAATGCCTAATCATGTTAACCATGACCATTAATTATTATTGAATGTCTTTTTTTAATGATTTACTCGCAAGTCGCAATATAATAAACAACCCCAAAAACTCTTTAATGCGTCTTTGTGCTATTTAGGTATTATAGACACGCAAGTCCCAACCCCAGGAAATTGATCAGTACCACATGGTCACGTTGAACTTAAGTCCCTACGAGTTTTAGGTACGCGCTATTTTCTTGCATTGAGTTTGGTTCGAATTTCATTGTTAGATTGCTAACGATTTTTTTATGCCACTTCTGATACCATCGTCACGTTTTTGTGTTCAGGACTTTCGGTGAAACAATACAAATAGGTACTTAACTAAATAAATTTATTTGACATTTAATTTTTGTGTATTGTGTATGTGTATTTACCTGTGGTTTCCGAGGAAGTGTTTTCTGTAATCAGTGCCATTTGGTTTAGGTGTTCGAATCCAGCAGCGCAGTATTTTCCATTACAAATTCTATCACCACACACTCGAGATACCTAGAAAGTAGCATATTTCCTTTAATTAAAAAATGCAACATTTTCATAATCACAAAATGAATAGTTTGTTGTGTTGTGATTGTTCAAGAGTTCAGAAATTTGATTATAATGACATATGGTGGATGGGTATTGGCACGGATACCAAAAAGTTACATTGAAGCATTGCATTCTGTGACCAAATTTGGAATCCTAAACCCACATATACTTTGGGATGACCTGTATGAAATTTACTACGTTCACACATCCACACATAATTTATTTGGCATAGCGGTACAAAATTAATTAAGAACATTTCCCTTGCTTCTTATAATAACACAAAGTTTTATTTTAACTGCACAGAATATACACACCAGCAGATACATAGAGTGAATCTGTTTGGAATTTACCATATTTGCACACCAACAGGTGAAAAAATGTGCAAAGTAAAGTTGCTGCGAAAAACTACAATAGAATTTAAAAGTTAATATGGAAATAATCGTTCAACAGATTTCAAAGAGTTGGTATCAAATTGATGTCTCCTAATTTTTTTGGGACGATCTTTATGATATTTGCCATATTTAATCACACACACATAATGAAAAATTTAGGAAGTAATCATACACTTTTTTGGTATAATGGCTGAGCACTCAGTATAGGGTCAATCCACATACAGTTTAGGGCAACCTGTAATATGACGTATGTACATGCAGCATATTCTATATCTCTTTAAAATATGTTATTTTACACTATGTTATAACAATCCAAGAAGGGGAAACTGCATAATCTGTCTTGTAGAATGGAAATAAAATGATTAAATTAATGTTACAGCGTCCGATGCAACAAAAGGTGTTTGGTTCAACAACTCGGATGTATCGCAAAACGTCGAATCTACAAGTATATCTCCCCGTCCATTAAAAAAGTTATCGACTAGTTTAAAAAACGTACCTCGCCGATCTCTCCGTCAAGAAACATATAGCAGTTCACCACCCGAAAGTCCAACACAAATTATCCGAAGAAAATAACAAAAAAATGTTTATAGCTTTAATTTTAAATATTAGTTTTAAGCTCTCAGTATTTTAGGATTACACATCGATCACTAGACTTACACTTCGAATTTATTCTTATTATCGTAGAAATGTACACGACCACTAATTAAACGTATTGTACATATATATTATCATAGTATTGCTTTAGTGTAATATTTGGAAATCTCTAAATGTAATTAGCGTGTATATAATTTTTAATAAGCTAAACTTTTAAAAAGAAAAACACCAATACGGTTAAATAAGCCGATAAACTTTAATATTTTATTAATGAAATTGTTTATTTATTACATTCCTCACATATACTGCATTTTTCGTTGAAAATATGTCACGATCAGGAAAATGTTTGCAAACTGGTGTCTTTAAGTTCAATTGTTTGCGTATTTTCACAACAAACGCTTGCATTTACATATATTCCACATTATTGTATGATTATTATATGTTTAGTTTTCTATGATTTTAAAAGTTGTCGTTCACAATTAATACTTACCATACAAACAATAAAAATGTATAATACAATACTGGGTGCAACATGAGGCTTACAATGTCGGCTTCATTCATTGTGTAATTCATCAATAGTACGCAGTAGATGTATACCTGCTGCACAAGAAAATATGAATATGCGAAGTTCATGGTAAACCTTATGTTTCTGTATAAAGACCTTCCCTGTTTTTCATACATTTAGTAATATTGACTACTTAATGTTAATTGTGAATTAATATGTACTTAATTATTTGTTGCAGAAAAAAAAATTGTGAACATCTGCAACTCTAAACGTTACACTTTTTTAATTATTTATTTATTAACTTTGACCAAATATATTAGTCTTAGATTTCTTCTGTTGATAGTATTATTTACATAGGAAACCAATTGCAGAACAAAAAAAATTTGATATAATGCTGAAAATGTAGTGTCATGCTGTAAGTGGTTATTTTCTGTCTACTTAGTTTATTTCTCGATTGTTAGTTTTTAATTAATAGTGAATGTTGAACAGTTGTGTAAACACGCTAATTTTATTATTGTTGACGTTGTTATTATTGTACCTACTATGAATTCAAAAGCATATTATTTTTCGTAAAACTACTTTACCATTCTCTTTTATTTTATTAGTTAGTGTAATGTACATATATACTTAATAAATGCTTTGTTAATGAAACAATGAATATCTTTTACGCCCTTTAAGAATTTCGCCTACTGATTCTGCTTGTTATTATAAATTGTAAAGTGTAAGGTCGCATATGCAATTTTTAATTTAACTTAAGCGCAATCTCCATGCATTGATCAGTACAATACATACTTCAACATTTCCTCGCCAATAATGTATTTTCCTGACTTTTATGTAAATAATAATTTTAATATGCATTCATGTCATTACAAACAATTTTGCTCTACAGTTTCATATTGGTTCGTTAGCTGGTTTTTTCTTAGTGAGTTCTTTTTTTTCTCCGTCTATTTTTGCTGGGTGAATTACCATTTTCAGTTTTGACCTCTGGAAGCGATAAGTATACGGCACCGAGACAGAAATACAAAAAACTTAAACCACAACATTTTTGTCTAACACAAAATTGATGATGAATGGCCCATGATAGGATTATCTAAAGCCTCGTGTGGTGGAAATGACGTCAATGTTAATGTTAGAACTTCTGATTGAAACCAGTGTAAAAAAAACAAGAAAATTAACAAAGAATAAACAAAACTGTAATGATTTCACAGAAAAACTATTTCACGCTCGTGGTGCTAAAGTAGTAAAACTGAAAGAAGAAAATCACGCCACAGCAAGTATACTAACAATTTATTTACAAACATAACAAGATCTTTTTCCAACGTACTTAATTTAGTGCTAGATTTCAACTTTTTTCATCCAAAATAATATCCGAAAGTTTGTCATCCGATTCCACTAAATCTGAATCGATTGTTTCATCTTTGACTAAATGTGACTCCATCATCGGTATGAAGGGACTTGCATGGAAATCCGGGTGCTCCAACATAATCCTATGAAAAAAAGTAACATTAACACAATGCTCCCTATTTTGTTTACTTGTAGGTGTCTCAAATTTTCATCTGTAAGGGGTTAGTTTCAGATAAAAAAAACTGACCCCCATTTGCAAGGTCGAATACCGCATCTTGATCTGTCAAGCTAGGGGGGTTTTTTTATCTTTCGAAGGAGGTCTATAACTTCGTTATTATTGAACATTTTGCAGATTTAGTTTAAGTAACGGAGACCTCAGTTTAATTAGAAATTAATGTGTACTTACAAAAAAAGTTGTAATATTTCAGAAGGTCGTAATTCTCTAAATTCCGTGAATATATCGATACTATTCGCGAAATGCGTTTTGTATTTCTGAGGTGGCACTATCAAAGTTGTTCCGATTCCAGGTACCCACTTTCTGTAACAACAAAATGTTCACTTTGAAGTTGGATAAAATTGCCGAAGTCTCACTCCATGGTGGGTATTACTTTCTGATGTCCTCTTTTAAACCCATCAATTACAAAGTAAAATAGATGAGGAAGGTACTCAGTGCTCACAGGTAATTGTTTTTTCGGAATAATTTTCATTAGTAACACGTTTTCATCTTCTGGCTAAAATAGTACACATTCATTATAGGTGTTTTAACACAGTTTTATTCCATTAGGTATGTGGAATTACTCTGTTCTTTCCATTAAAATTATTTACTTTTGTCAAGAATAGTACAATGAGCTACCACATTTTTAACTTAACAACAGAGTTTGGACATAACATTGTATGTTTGCCCCACATGGTAATCTTCCTAAAACCCTAGTAATTGACGGTAAAGTATGGCGACACCATATAAATTTGCCAAACAGCACAGATTTGCACAAAAATTTGGATTTAGGTTCATACTCTCTACTTCAAAGTAAGCTTTTACCCTGTCTATGTAATTCATTTTCTTATATTTACCTGCTCAAATTTTACTGGAACATTTCGCCATGGCAGAAATGACTTTTTGCAATACTTATGTAAAACTTGATAGTTGAAAAATAATTGGAACAATATGCTGGTAGTCCTATAAACCACCAAGCTCATTTCGGGAGTCGCAGATAAGCACTGAAAATAAAACTGTTACTAACATCCAAAAGGTTTTCATTGTTATTCTGACCGTTTCACCCTCAACAAGAAAATTTGTGCATCACACCCCATGGGAAATTAACAGCCAGCTCACAGATTACGGTAATCTGTGAACAGGTGTAGAGGAATCTTTATGAGCAAATTATGTCAACAGAAGATTGAAAAAAAAAACATTTTGGAAATTTGACTGCTTTTTTTTGAAAGGGAAGAGTGTATTTTCTATTTACCATGAAGCCTCTGTGACATCGTTAACAACGGCCCTAAAACTACACCACCCACAAAAACACCTGTCCAGCTAGCTCAAATAAATTGAAAGTGAATTTTATGATCTCTCCACGTACATATCCGTCATCTGCTACAAGAAAAGTATTAATATTGACTTAATTTTTTCCATGTGAGAGACTCGGTGGCCTCACTCAACTTCCGAACATTCCATAGAATTTATTACACAACTTTTTATTAATATCTAAAATAAATCTTGGGTCAGAATTGAAGAATCTCACACGAACACTCTATCTGGGTCGCACAAAGGATTCGAACAAACACACAATCAAATGATTGACGATGACAAAAATTTATTCCAAAATATCCCTGAAAGAAAGAGAAAGTTTGTTTGGACATAATACCCCACACGCAGGCGGTCGATAATGAAAAACAAAAATTTTCAATAATCCAAATAATCTGATCGTACAAGATTTGCGATAAAGGCGCACTTAACTCACATGCACACTGACAACCTCTGAAATCTGGTTTGATGAGGAAGATAAACAAATTTTCGGTGGCTGCTCGGACCATACAAACTTTTTCTGAACCCGGACAAACTGAGGGATATTCCTCTTTAAAAGTTATTTTCTTTTTAATTTTTCCGTAATGTTAGCGTATGTAATTAATTTTGTTGATTTTAACAACTTTCCACAAACTTTTACTACTTCACTTGACAATAACTTAAATCTTTTATTAAGATTGCTTAACCTCTTCTGCACACTTTATCTCGAGACTGACGAATTGCATCTTCAGGAAAACTAAGGCATATTGCCAGAGATGTGGTGTAAACAAATTCACCGCGGAACTCGCAGCTAGCAGTGGCCTCGTTTTTACGTCGACTCCAGCATTCAAAGGAACACCACTTACAATATAAAATAATCCTTCCTTCAAGATTTTCAAAAAACACCGTGAATCACAATTAGACTAGTAGGTATGGGGACACTTGAGCCTGAGAAAATTCTGGGGCCCAGGGTACCCGTCATTCGACCCATCTAGGATGCTAGACCCGCCATCTTGGAGGCTGGATCCATCTTGGATTATGGACCCAACATCTTGGATATGCTGGAGTCGGCACTTTGACATCATTGGTATTGGATTGGGGTAAAAAATGACACCCCCCCCCCCCAGTTTTTTTACGGAAATACACGTTTTGAAGCACCAAGAATCTGAATCAAACAAAATCTCGATGATGTCGATCGGTCTGACAGTATGATGGCAGCACAGGCGGCATTCGCGTCATGCATGTTTTCCAAAAATGACCAATTTACAAACAGAAGATTACTGCATAAATTAAAATAATCAGATTTTTTGAAATTGTAGCCTTTGTAATGTATGACTTGTACCAAGCCTACCTATACTGCATTCATTATAAGAAGGTAGTAGATGGCGCTGTATATAAAACGGCACCAAATTATTGTAAAGTAGAAATATCCAGCATTGTGACCAGAAATAAATCTTTGACATTAACAGCTAATGACACTTTTCAAGAGTTTAGTTGACAATAAAAACCAACATTTTGCACAATTCATGTGTTCACTCTCCACAACTGGGAGAAGACTGACTGGTTAAGGTTATGCGTTAAGATGACCCACCCCTTCGTGCTTTTTTTACATGTTTGTCAACTGTGACAAAGTAATACGTGATTATTTCTGGTACTGCCTAACATAATCCACGCAATATCAAAGAATGCGAGTAGTTCAAGAGTATTGCCTGATAATGTCTGTAAAATGTAAACCAAATGGCTGAAGATACCTCACAAAAACTGGACAATATATGAGGTTCTGTATTTTAAAACATAGCATTCAATTTTACCCACATGATAATCTTCAGGTTGTACCAAAGCAAACACTTGAGGCCTTCCATACAACAGGAATTCGTCCTGTAGAGCAATTGCTCTAGTTAAATATCTTATAAAGTTAAGATTTGGCATAGGACCAATGATTGTCAGACTAGAAGCTATAAAGAGACACTTTGTACTAAGGTTGCGACAATCATTCAGAAAACAACCCACCTTCATTCCAATGCCTGGTAGGTAAACCATCTAGCATTCGATGAGCTCGATCTGCTTTATCATGTCTGTCGAAATACAACAGAGCATTTATGTTATATAAGTCTCGAGCGAATATTTCCATTCTCAATGGAAAATGAACAAGGGTCTAAAACAAGAACTAATGTAATTAGAGCTATCAAGCTGTACCTACCCTAAGATGCTTCCTAAATTCAGGACAGACTTCATACACACGAACGTTTTCGACCCCTCGTTTTATAAGTTCTGTCGTTATTAAGCCCAGTCCGACGTTCGTTTCACAAATAACTTGGTCTTTCAGGTAGGGCCAAATTCTGTTCACAATGTCTTTAGCGAACAATTTATTCATTAAGTAGGAATGGCGAAGGATATGTTGACGATTTTGCACAAAATACTTTTGGGGTATGTGTCTTTTTATTAATGATAGTTCGTAAGTTTCCTTAAAATGCCTTTGTATTCTAGCACTGTAGCTATCACTCATTGGAGAGGCCTTTCTCCGAGTCCGTGGTGCTGGTGTACTTACGGCGCTCATTGCAAACGAACGATACTTGATTGTCTGTTTGCAAAGTAACGTGTGTGCCGATTGCATTTTTAGAATAGAGCTGAACTTCCCAAAATGGATTATTATTCAGCTGTTCAATTTTAAATTAATTACAAATTTATCGAGCTGCTACATAATAATTCAGGAGTTTACTTTTAATTATTTTCCTAATTTTAAAAATGTGAACATAACCAAACAAATAGTTGATACATTATCGTTTAAAGACTGGTTTACACCGATTTTACAACTACAAGGTGGCGCAAAAATAACGCCCCAACCCATTTTTAGTAATGGCAATTAATTCAATATAAAATTGAAAACTAATTCAAGATTCGTTGAATTGATCAGCTGAACGCGCATGCCTTTCGCAGGAATAGTAAACCTTTAGGAATAGTAAACCTTAAATTTATACGAAAACATGTGACTGTACGCTTTGTGCATTCAGGTTAGGGTAACTCGTATAAGCACTCATGCATGCGCGTGCCTCGTTGCAGTATCTTACTATGTTCCGACCGTGAGAGGGTAAACCCGGACGCTAAAATACAAAAGTTATCCTAGAACTAAAGGGACACAAGCGGAGGCCCTCGAATACTCAACTCATAGCGATGGAGTAACGAAAATCCGATCCATCGTACCCATGGGCGGTTGTCACATTCTTAACAATCTTTAGTTTTGTACATTCAAATCAAAGTCGCAGTTTAAAGGAAATCCCTAATATGTTGTGACGAATATTCTGTACACACCATTTAAAAGTTCACTGCTGTTTCATACTCGTACAATTACCGTTTGCTAATTTGACTTATACTCTAATTTTGGTTAGCATTTATTTATTTTTGGACTTTATTTTTAAGTGCTCTTGCTGTCAACCCTCTAAGCAGAGTTGCCATCCCTTCAATAATTTTAAATTGAACGTCGGGTTGAGTAACACATCATTGGAAAGGACTCTTAATTTCCTTCATGCCTATGATTTAGTTTTCAAATTCGAGCGACTATTTTGGAAGATCCACTTCACTGCTTGGTTTAGATAAATATGTAGTTGTAGCATAAGTACGTCCGGATCACTGAAATGAAATCGTATCAGTATTTTTAAAAAAAACCGAGCTAAAACCCAATCCATAACATTGGCATCTGATATATATCAGATAATTCAACAGTTGTTCATAATAGGGATAGCTTTAGCCAGTTTTACGAGTCTACATTTTTCAGGGTTATTAGGAGGTTTTTATTATGTTGATTTCTCATGGTATATCTTTGTTCTTCAGGATTGTTTTGTGTAGATAATATTTTCTATACCTAAACGTGTTCATTCCCGTAAATGCTTGAATATACATTTGAATTATTTCTGATTTGACACCCTGTATCTTACAAACGATTCGCTCATATGTTACTCGGCCCAAGGTTCAATTTAAAATTATATCAAAGGAGTGATAACCTTGCTCAGGGGGTTGACAGCAGGTGTGTAAATTTTGAAGTAAAAGATGTCACCCTTCCAACCCAAATCGACGTGTCTTTGCGTTTGTTTCAAAAACTATTTTCTTACGAGTTATTCAGTGTTTCACTTTCGTTGGGCCACCCTGTATTTTCAAATCAATGCCTTTGTTGACAGTGATGTCGTCTAACGTGTAAACCACCCTTCATTTCTCCTGTATGAAAACAAGAACAAAACAAGAAGAATCAGCTGTTGTTATCTTGAATAATGACAAGTGAGGTTAAGTACAAAATTTGCAAAAGTATTCTTTTGTTAAAAGTTTAATTTTTTAAACCATTTAAGTTAAAAATGGCTCTAAGTAATATCGTATTACTTAGTCAAATTGCAGGATACGTTATTGCTTTAATTCTATCGCTATGCATTATCGTACCAATGAGTCTGCATCAAGATGAATTTAGGTAACTGTTCCACCCTCGGTAACATTATTTGCACAGATCATTTTTAGGGGTCATTGTTTGCTCTTCTCAACCGGTACTTGGCAAGAAACTGACGGACAGCTCAATGTTAGTTGGAGTTCGCAAGCCTATTGTAACTACACAATTTTCGTCGGAGTCATGCTGTTTTTACTGTCGCTAATACAAATATACAGGTATTTTGGGTTTCTATCAGTTGCGTTGATTCTAACTGTGATTTCTTGAAGATTATCCTTATTTTTATATAAAGGAACAGATAGCAGTTTTCTGTCTGCATTTATTGATGTCGTCTCCAGTATGATTGTGTGCGGTATGACGATTATTGCTGCATTAATGATTACTTTGGGATTCATGGTGTGGTGTAAGAATATGACTGAAAGATTTCGTTCGTAAGTTTATTTTAAAAGTCTGTGTCTTTTTGTAAACACTTGTCCTTTAGTTGCGAGCTTGCAGCTGGGCAAGAGATCGATATACACGATGGTATAGATACAGGTGGATTTTATATAGAATTGGGAACTGCTCAGGTAGCGTATTCTATTCGTAAACTTTGCAGTATATGACCAAGTTGTATTACAGTTTGGAGTATGGGCTTCCTTTGCTACTTGGGTTGGATTGTCTGTATTTGCTTTATTGAAACTGTGCCGTTATCATCAGCTAGAGAATATAAGGGTCTCTATGTATAGAGAGAGGCAACGGCTTATTAACGAAAATGCGGATTCTCCCGGTAGTTCTTTGGGTAGAGAATCTACAACTTCAGCTCCACAAACGGTAGAAAGTAAAGAGTGATTAGTCATAACTGCTTTACGATTGCCCTGTTTGATTGTGTACGCTATTGTTCATTTTACTTTGTTAATTCACCATACTATTTATCAATTCTATAAATATTGAAAAAATGTGATACGTATATAATTACGAATGTGTTATAAATTATTTACTTGTAAGTTTATATATACTCTCCTTTAATTAGTTATTGTTGTTCATATTGGAATGTGTTTCATCAAAAATGAAACGGTTACTTTTTATACTACCATCACATTTACAATTCTAATATATATTTTTTAGTTTATTTTTGCTTAATAGTTGCCTACATTTGCCTTTTATATACTACATTGAACAAATGTTCTGTACTGGACTTGTATGATACCCCCACCGCCATTCTTGTATAATAATTTTGCAGTAATAGACATACTCAATTGTTTGTGATTTATAATCGGTTTAAATCATCAGAACGAATATAACTAATTCTTAAATAGGCATTTTTCAATGGCAATTTGGTCTAGCTCTGATTGCAATGAACCCCTTATGTATTGACAATGGACTAAATGATTAATTTAACAGTATGTTGCAAAACGTAGTACAAAAAAAGGTGCATAGCCATTTTGATATTTTAGCATAGTTTCACACTAGGTATAGTATATTATATAATTTCCTTGCTATAAAGCGATTATGCATAAAACATTATAAATTCAGACAAATGTTAGTGCAACTGTAAAGCAGTTCAACTGGTTATCTTTAAATTACTTGGACTTGATTTTATAAAATAAAGGATACATTACTCTTACTTTTTTATCGTTTAAACATCAAATTAAATCTCTTTTGAGGATCGATATTCAATTCCAGATTGATTTTGATCATATAGGTCTAAACACTTTTGAGTGAGGTACTCAAAATCTGAGAATAGATTTAAGGGTCGTCGAAATTAATTTACAAATGTGTTTCGAAAGCTCAAAGACGTTCTGAAAAAGCGATGGGATGCCCTGGAAAAACGTAATAAATCGCCGTACATCCGGGGAATTTTGTAACAGAATATTTAATTGGTACCAAAAAATAAAGGAATATATATTAAATAGTGGTATCTCAGCATATTCATTGCTGAAGATATATATTCTAAGAATATCCAATAATGTTATCTGGGATAGTTCTATTCTTCTCCTTTTGATGTTTCTCTGTATAAGACGTTCGTAGAGAAAGTACCTCATACAGTACGTTTCATCACTGTTTGTTGCTCCCTCATGTCTTGCGTCTTAGCAACACGAGAAGGCCGAAGGGGGTCCTCTAACTAACCTTTCTTCTATTACTTAATGTGGTTTTGCTTGTGCAATAATAAACTTTAACATGCATACTCACTAATGGCATTCTCACATCTACTCGTGTTGAATTGCCATGGTAGCCGAGGCTGAAGTAGAGCCACGCCATTTTGATGTTTTTTATGATGTACCTAACGATTTTTATTTTCTCCGCTACAAAGCACTATTATTGTTTGTGGTTTCTTACTTGTTGAAAGATCCCCGTAACTTTTTAAAGCAATTTAATAGATGGCTCCATCTATTGTTGGAATTTAACAACGCAATTTTGCCGCCCTTTGATTCGTGCATGTCAATTTTCATCTCTCGTTCTGTCGTAAACCATATCGAATACACTTCGTTTAAACAAACAGCTGAAAGCGTGAGTTAGAGCGCATGGAATTTTAATTGTCATCATCCATATATACCTATTGATCTCGCGGTTATGATCGAGTTTGAAACGCGAATGTTGATGAACACTTTTCTGAAGAGGTTGGTCATTTAAGTACCGTATCTGGTATAGAAGCAGATTACGAGTACAGCGAGACTTTCCAGGCATTAATCAAGTAATTATACCGATACCTACCGAGCCATGCGGCTCCATAAAGGTTTTCCGAAAAATCAAATTTAATGGAAAACGGTCGATGCGGGTTTCTCGGGCGCCATCAGGAGGTTTCAACCCTTGCTCCTGATGGTTACGGCGGTCGGCGGATGCTTAACGAATTTGGAGTCCTTAGACGGAGACAACGAAAAACTCCAGGGATTTGCCAGGCAAAATGGCGGTCGGTCACTGGCGAATACCTAAAACAGAATTGCGGCGCACGACACAATAGCGGTTCCCTAAGTGATGACGAGAATAAATTAAGGCATTAACTAGAGTTACGGGAAAGAAGACAACAAAGGGAAGCAAGCAAACTAATTAACGAAAACAAACTATCAATCACCTACTATCTTTAAACTTCACGTTGAACGGGATAAAAATTAGAACTCGCAACAACACTCACACAGTTGCCTCTAAATTAAGCTCATACCTTAAATAGAATTCCCAAAATACGGACAGGGAGCGTCGGATATTCCGTGCAGGCTGCTGACGCCCTAAAAATTCTGAGATATGTTTCGAAATTTACATTAATTAAAAACGCCTCTAATGAGACAACTCATGACTTAATCGGATTCTGTTTACTGCAACTCATTTAATTAGCAGCGGTTAATTATTCTTAACTAAATGATCGGATTAAAATGTCCAAATTTGATAGTCCATTGTTATCTGGAATTTCGGGGCAATCAGAAAAGGTCTGTGATAATAAAATAAACTGCGCGACTTTGTAGCTCTAATTTTGTTTAAAATTCGGAAACTAAACTGTTCATAATAAATTAATGGAGCTGAAATTCTAAAATATTAACTCTCTCCACTCTTCCCTGGCAAGAGAGCTTTCGAACCCTACAAAAAAAGTTAAAATATCTCTACGGGAACGGCTCCAAGCGTCTAATTAACTACAGTATCTTTTTCGGTCTTTAGCGGTGACTAAAACGATGCTACAAATGAAAACACTTACCTACTTCTACCTTCTATTTCCAAATAAATAGTTCCGGAACAACACCTTTCGAAACGAAGCGGCTCTAGATACTGGGTGTTCATTAAAGCTGGTAAATTTCAAGGTGAACAGGTGCTTCGTTATACACGTAGGACCTATTCGCCCCCCTCCCCCCATCACGACACATCGAACGCGTGAAGTCGGTGCCGCCGCCCCTGCCGTCTTTTTACGAAATTCTTTTTAGTGTTTGTGTTTTTTGTGCGTATTTGAATTGGGAATTGCAGTGCAAGTCGGAATTTGTGGATTATTAACAACAAGGTAATTAAGACTTTATTTGACCTGTTTCGATCGAGCACGTGTAGCGTGGTATGTGTTTCTGGCCTTGAGTGCCGATTTTTCTTACAGCAATTTTTGAATAAATTTCTGTTTTGTATTAAAAGAGTTTCGTATTAGAATCGGGCCAAATTAAACTTAGGATTTTAAGAGGTGTGACTTTATTTAATTTGGCTAGTTGAACAGGTCTTGTGTGGGTGGGTTATAGTGACCGTTCGCGATTGCAGACATCATTAAGTTTTGGCGCCCAACGTGGGGCACACAACATTACTTTTGAAGCCCAACGTAGGGTATCCCATATTATTTGAGGAAGGATGTCGTAAGGACGAACAAAATATAGTCCATTAAAAATTTAATTTCTTATAAAGTTCGCTGTACATGGTTTCTAAACGCATATTTACTTACCTAGGTATATTTCTATATGTAACAAGCATCCATTGTGAATTTTTATACCTGTAGACGAAAACATGAACTCGTTGATAGGAAATGTAGGAGTTACGTTTTTAAAGTTTACGGAAAAACACTTTTTACTAAATGTGTCTTTTTATGATTTTTTAAATACCTCTCCTGGCTAAAGGTGGATCCGCATTCCGTACAAACACACTCGCTCAATTTGTTATGAATTTTTACATGACGCTTTAAGTCCTGACTAAGTCTAAACTTCGCCTCACAAATTTTACACTGATGCGGTTTATATCCGGTATGTACCCATGAATGCACTTTTAACTCCGACGCTCTCCGAAACTTCTTGTCACATTCACTACAAGAGAATCTGTAATTGTTACCGTGGAAAAGCTTATGAATGTGTAACGACGCCTTTTGTCTAAACGCTTTACCACAAATATCGCAGATAAACGGACGATCGTTCGTGTGAATGTTTCTATGGTCGTCTCTTGTCGCTTTAGCGGCGAAACCTCTCCCGCAAATATCGCAATGGTACTTCTTCACGCCGTAATGATGCTCGGTAATGTGACGATGTAAACCTCCAGACACACGAAAGTTTTTTCCACAAATGTGGCAAAAAAACGCGCGCACACCCGTATGGACCGTCTGGTGACGGACGAAATTATAGGATTGCCTAAATAATTTTCCGCAAATCTCGCATTTGTAATAAGTTTTATTATCACCGCCAGGTACCTGGCAGCGTTTCAAAAGTTGCGAGGTTTTCTGCTGCTCGGTAGGCATCGTTTCAATTGTCGGAGCGGTCGGGTGTTTGAGTTTTCTGTGCTTTTGCATGTCAAACTTTCTTGTAAACCCTTTACGGCAAACATCGCAGAAATGCTCCGCGACTATATCACTTTTATTGCGCCTAGTACGGGGCTTTTTCTCACCGTGCTCGTCTCGCATATGCTTACACAAAGATGACCTCTTTTCGAAAGCTTTGTTACAAACAGTGCACTTTTCAAATGACCTTAAAATATTCTCTAGCGGCTCCGTGTTTCCCAACTGAATCGCCGAATGTTCACTCTTGATGTGCTTGATTATGTTCGATTTCCGTTTGTAACTTACCTCACAAATGTAACATACAAATTGTTTTGATTCTCGCCGTTTTTTATTGTCGTGCACCAATGAATAGTGTATATTTAGATTGTCTTCTGCTTCAAATTTTTTATTACAAATGGTACAACTGAAATATTCCTCATCTTTAACTGCTTCAAACGTTTCTCTTTTGCATTCGTACATCCACTGTGAGTCTTTGACTCTGAAATTAAGACAGAACAAAACATATAAGTACTTTATAACACCATACTTAAATAATTTACTGCTTTAACTTTCATAACTAGCTACACATGCTAAAAAACTTCAGTATTAAGTTTCTGGCCAGTATATAACCGTATAGCAGTAGATATCACCAACTTCATTACAAAAGCATCTGATTCAGAATAATTTCAGACAATTCTGTTTGAAGCGTAGGGCGCCAGCGCCACTTCCTTTAATTATGTTGTTAAATAAATTGGTTGCTTTCGTAAACGTCCGCTGAGGAAGATTAAGCGATACTGTGGGTGTAGAAAGCATTAGAAGAGGAATATTTATCACCATCATCTAGGAGAGAGACTGCCGCAAGAAATGTAAAAAATGAGGCAAAACGCGGAGAAGATATTTCACGTGTGGAGACGGTGCTTCCGAAAACCGTAGCCGTTAGTTGAGGTCAATATCTCGAATACTGCAATTTTGAAAATTTTTTACGTCCTTTGAATTTATCCCATCGAATCTTGCAACTTTTATTTGACCTTTTTCTTAAAATCTCGAAGCTGGCTTGAATTAGATTGAACTTCTAATTACAAATAAAGATCACAATTTATTATTCAATTTTTAGCGCACTCCTACAACTGTATATCAATTCGCCGATATTCCCGTACGTCGATTATGCTATAAAAAAACAGCCCTACTATTCGTGGCACAATTACACTGACCACAATTTTAACAATAGGTATTTTTTGTCGTGCTTTAATAAATGACGATTTAAATTTTTGTTACTATTTGTCGCATACCTAATCGCAGAGAACATCCTTCATTGTGAATATGCCGCTATAAGTTTTTCTTATCATGAGTAGCTCAATTACACTGTTCACAATGGAGAAAGTTGTGTATGTTAATAAGCGATATTACTAGCGAACGATTAATTGTAGCGTAATTACACTCATACCAGCGCAGCGAAAGTTATTTAGAGTGGAGTGCGTCAAAGAATTACGAATATATCTTCTATTGTTTATTGTGTAACGGGCGATCAAAAATGAGTTGCTGTCGAGTAGCCTTTGGAAGTTTAAGTTAAGTATGATTTCCCATAAATAAACAAAAATTCCAAAGGTAACTCGACAGCAACTCATTTTTGATCGCATAGTAGTTGCACTGTTCACAATTACAGATTGGAAATATTATGCGTTAAACTACGATTTCTTAAATGATCCCTATTGTTGGTTGCATAATTGCACTGATCACATTTACATTCTTCAAAGTAACGTAATAAATTGGAGTTTTAAACTACCCTTAAGATGTAATTACATTGATTGCAAATGAAATTTTTGCACATGTATTTACTTTTACAGCCGTAAAAACTACTTGATTACTTTTGGCGTATTGTAAATAAACAAAAATGGCGGTCTCACCCACCAAAAGTAATTACAGTGTGCTGCTACCACACGGGGTCTTACTGTTAATTTGAATCGCGAATAGGCTTCGAGAAACAGTGTTTCATCCCGTCATGAGATGAGTAAGCGCAGTGAGGTGGGAGGGGAGTCGATTAGGTAATCGCGTGCAAGGTACTTACTTTCCGTACAAGCATGAACTGTGTATTTGTAAATAGCAGGCATGTTATTGTCGGAAAAGTCTGCACCATTTTTGTTTAACTTTGCTTTTGAAAAGATAAGACAAATACAAATAACCTAATGCCCAACTCGGCTGAATTAGGATACCTATTTTTGTGAAAAAAATTTAAAAAAAAGCCTTTTCTTGCTAGAATCGAACTCGAACCGCTCGGTTGCAAGCTGAATTTTCTTGCCACTCAGACCATGATGGCATACATTCGATCATGATTAAACTGGGTTCGCATTCCGAAATAGTTGTGGGGAACTCAATTTTCTCATGCATGCGGACGCATCTGCCGTTGTTTACAAATATACGCGTGAGCCATTCGAAAGGCATCCGTGGACGTAGTTGTGGCTCGGGGGTATAGGGTTGAGCAGCCTTGGTCTAGAATGTAACATTTCTAATTTGTTATTATGTGATAAAAGCGTTTTATCCACAAGTTTTTTTGGAAAAGTACTTTACATGAAGTATGATACTGCGTGAGTGATCTATGTTTCCCAATTGGCGTTTAAAACTACTAGAAATATCCTGGATCAAGGATTAGGGTAGTTCCAATCGATGAGAACCAAACCACTGTGGTTATTATAGCAGTTAATTTCTGTAGAACTTACAATTTTTTAAGGGAGGGAATGAGAAAGAATTTGAGGAGGTACCTACTAACAAATACGACAGTGTATTCTAATTAAGTTTGTTATTAAACTGGACATTATTTACAGTTGTATTTTGTTTCTATTGATAGTAAGCAATTAGCCCGTAGATATACCTATAAAGTACAATTGCTATTGGCACCGTCTTTTTGAGGCAAATATGGCGATTGATGTATTTGCAGTAATCTGTCTCTTATACATCCACTAGCGCTGTGTTCAGATTTACGTTTTAGGATACTCCCAAATACGGCATGTCAAAAGTGGGATCAATGTCTAATCAATTTTTTTCATTGCAAATATCTCTCATTACAGATACTATTTAAAATGACTCACAGACCTGGTGTTAAAACTGCCATGTTAAAAAATGTTGACGGTCACTGCTCTCCCTCACAGATCTATTGAGAAATTTTAAGCTCTTTCAAAAAAATCCTGTTCAATTTTGCCACACATTTCTGAGATAAAAGTGTAAAGGCGAAGCGGAGCATCAACGGCCGCCATTTTTAAGATGGCGGATTTACCACAGAATGTACAGACCACTCTGAACCAATGCGATTTAACAATTCAAACTTGGATTACTGAAAAAAAACTTGCTTATAGCAACCAAGCTAAGGTAGAGCTCCAGAACTTAAATCTGAACAGCTTTGCCAAATGTGTTGGCGATTGTGGTAAATCTAGAGACTTTATAAGCAGCAAGGTCGGCGCCTCGTCTTAACGCCATTAAAACATATCAAATGTAAAAAACATTGTCATCATTATTAAAGGAGTATACTTCAATCTCGTCGCCGTGTCTCAAGTAAATCACGGGGTTGGTCGATCGTGATTGATTTTATTATGGTTTCTCAAATATCTTTTCTGCCGAAAGCTTAAACCGCAGTCCAAACACGAAAATGGTTTCTCCTCGGAATGAATAAGTTTATGTCGCTTGAGCTCGTACTTAATTCTAAAACGCCTACCACAAATATCACAAGGATACGGCTTTTCACCCGTATGTCGGGTGACGTGTATTAATAAAGGCGGTCGAGTACGAAAACCTTGATTGCAGTAACTGCAACGAAACGGAAATAAATCCGAATGCGACCGATTGTGCACAAACAGCGAGGCCTTCTGCTTGAAACTTTTGCCGCACAAATCACAGATATACGGTCGCTCGTTCGTGTGTATCCTCCTGTGCTCTTCCACGTTGCGGCGTGTCGCAAACATGCGCCCGCAGATATCGCAACCGAAATTTTTGATGCCTTCGTGCGTTTCCCTTAAATGTCTCACTAGGCCTTGAGATACACGAAATTGCTTTCCACACAAATCGCACACGTACGGTCTTTCGCCCGTGTGAATTCGCATATGCCACACGTACGTATATGGCGAGTGCAGACTTTTCCCGCAAATTTTACAGTTGTAGTAAACTCGACCTTCGACAACGACCTTGGCCGCATTGACCGCATCTTGGTCCAGTTTTGTATTTTTTCGACGTTCTTTCTTGGTTTTCTCCGACAGACCATCGGAAAAATCGTGCTCTTTATCTGCATGCTCGACATTGACATGATTCATTATGTCTTCTTCGGTTACAAACATTAACGAACAATACTGGCATGAGAAACTGTAACCTTCTTCCAATGACTGTTCCTGGTCTTCGATGCCATCACTTCCGAAGGTTAAAGATTTTTTGTCTTCATCTACGAACTGTGGCTCTTCGACAAATAGTTCTTCATTAAGTACCACTTCGTCGTCTTTACCAGGTTCAATCGGTTTATCGTTGGTATTTCTTCTTTCATTTGTTATAATTTTAGATATTGCACTCTCTTCTGTTCCCCTAGGCTCCATGTACGGATTTTGAATGGTTTCAATGTAATTTTGAAGAGATTCATCCGTTATGACATTGCACTGTATCCACTCTTCCTTTTTAATATCGGACAATGGTGGATATAAAATTGTCGATTTTTTCTGTTTCGCCGAACTTTTTTCTGTAATAGTTGCCGTTGGGGCGTCGGAAGTAGGGGTAGACTCTTGGCAGAAAACAGTCAGACTTGCAGCGACCGACTTCAGCTCTAACCTGCGAACAACAAATTACGCGATTACTTAGGTGAAAAATAACAGCTTGCAAGTCTGTTGCTTTCTACCAACCGCTAAATAAAATATGTACCTGTTCAATCGCAGAGTTATCTGGGGATTAAACAGATTTAATTAAGTAACGGAGTACATTAAGTTTTACGAGACTATTGTTATGGAAAAAACAATAACATTAGTACAACTTGTATACATAGTGTTACATAGGTATAAATAAGTATGTAAAAAAAATTGGATTGTAAAAGGGATCAAAACAAACACTTTTTCCAATAAACCAAGGGTTCAACCGAGGGAGCCACCGTCAAAAAGTGGTGAAATTTGCAGTTCTTTAAATTTTTCTCTGTATATGAGAAGTATTTCAATTTAGTAGAGTAAATCTGGGGGGTATGTACGAATACGCTCAGAATTACCTTATTTCATTTGAAATTTCCTTTTACAATTGTTTGTTTGGATTTGTATGCGTGATTGTAAAACGTGAAGTTGCATGTTAAAATGTAGGCATATCTGGTGGTTTGTGATAAGAGTTTTTTTTATCGGACGAGATTTAAATAATGTGGTGTTTTTTATCGCTGTTAGAACAGATAACAAGAAATACAGGTGTTCAACGGTGTGTGCATTAATTCCGCGTAAGTGGGGACGCGTTCTGTCGAAGGTAATTATGATTGGCCCTTTATCTAGAAAAACTGGAAGGAGGACATTTATTTTATTTAGGAAGTGCTGTTTCGCTAAATACTGCAAGCTAGCTGGTTCGCGACGGTTGAAAAGCATGCGTCGCTTTACGCTATTTTTATTCTGGAGTTTCGTTCTATGTATTTGTTGATTAAATACGCAATTCTTCATTTTCATATTTCTGTACAAAATTGTACAAAAATGTAGTAATTGAAGTTAGTCAAGTTGAAGTAAACGAAGCAGCGAAGCATTTTTTATTTTATTTTCTTATTTCTTTTGTCGAACGCTTGCGCACGGGATAATTTGTCCAAATGAATGTCAGCATGTGGATGGTATTCTGCTTCTTGCTGTTTCGGTTTTCAAAGGTTAATTTGGATCGTAAGATTTTCCTTTTGTCTTCTACAGTCCTGTCGGGTCTATGTTTTTAAGAACTATACTGCATTCATTATAAGAAGGTAGTAGATGGCGCTGGGTTTGAAGATAAACACACACCGGAAAAATATAAAACGGCACCAAATTATTGTAAAGTAGAAATATTCAGCACTGCGAACAGAAATAAACCTTTGACAATAACAGCTAATGACATTTCGGCAGTTTAATTGGCAACATAAACTACCACCTTACAAAATTCACCAGTCGTTTTATGTTTCATTGTAATACTGACTCATGTTTTAACCAATCACAGTGAAGGTCAAAGCTTCCCTATGCTTTCTACCGCTACCTTCTTAAAAATGAATACAGTATAGTCCGTAACTCAGTTCATCAGACTTTAGTCGGTAGATGTCCATTATTATATATGAGTTAAACAACTCGAGCAAAAATATAGGTATGTAAATATTTAAACGAGGCGACAGCTAAATGGGCGTAACAAGGAACATGGTCTGATAGTTACAGCCGACGTTCATAGAGGCGTTGCAGGTAGTTCTGGTTCCTTTAGATTTGAAAAGTTGAGGGCGCTAGGAGTTGGCAACAAACGAAAACATCGATGAGTCATACCTAAGTATACGCGGGGCAGACAATACTCTACGATCTAAATAAAAATGGCGGTATGCGGTTTTTGGCATGCCCGTGAGTCACAGGCCGACTCTCCACGAAAGACAGTAATTATGGTGACGTTGCGTATACGTCTGTTTTAAGTTACTTGTAGGGTTAAGATTGTTTTTTTAAAGTACAGGGTGGCCAACAGAATGCGAGGTACTGTATCTGAGAATCTATCCATCGTAGAGGCTCGCGGTAAAAAAATTATTACTAAAACGGTCACGAGCAAAACCTGGAAAATATTTTTAAGTTTCTGAAATGACCGCTAGGGGGCATAACTGCAATCTGGAATCTAAAAAAGTGATGTTTCAGTGAATTCCGCTATATTAACCTAACAAAAAATGTCCAGTCTTTGAAGTTGACGATAATCTGAACAATTTTTCCTATATCTCTAAAAATGAACGAAACGGCTGAGCCGATTTAAACAAACTCGGTTTAGTTCAAAAGAGCTATTCTTCAGCTACAAATATTATACTATTTGAAGTTTTGTTAGTTTCACATATCACCGCTTGAGGGCTTTTTTCGACATTCCGACAGACACGGTTAATTTTCTCAAAAAAATTAAATGCATTGGTGCGATTTTTTTCATGAAAAAGTAGCTAAATGATGCCTAAACAAGCTCGCGAAAACAGCATATAGCGGAATTCACAGAAAAATCACTTTTTAGATTCCAGATTGCAGTTCCGCCCCCTAGCGGCCATTGCAGAAACTTAAAAATAAGTTCCAGGTTTTTCTCATGGCCGTTTTAGTAATAATTTTTTTTCTCGCAAGCCTTTACGATGGACAGGTTCCCAGATACAGTACCTCACATTCTTATTTGGCCACCCTGTACATACATACAACAATTCTTAATGAAGCTAGATGGAAGATGGAAGAATGACAGGTGCCCTTTCCTCTCAACTAATTTTGAAATGTGAATTCAGTTTAGTCACTATATAATGTATCCCATAATGGTCCATCATTTAGTGGCAAGGATACCCAACTCTCACTTAGAGAGCCGGGCCCGTGTGGCGCAGTTCAGTTAAAGCGGAACTGTGGTGCTAAGGGTCCCTGGTTCGAATCCAGGTTCGGGCATGGATATTTGTAAATGTATAGTTGGTTGGGTTGGTAGAGCAGCCTTGGCTGAAACCCCGCCCACTCAAAAATCAAGGCAAAATAAAATATAGGTAAGGGAAATTATTTTTACCCAATCCGGCAGAGTTGGACATTAGGTTAGATTGTCTTCTTAAATTTTTTGAAATGTAAGCTTATAATAAATGTACTAAGAGTACAGCGCATGCCCAACGTCAGTTACGTTCTATAACCGCTCATGTGACTCTCTAACCCCAAGACACGCCCACGGTCCAGTTTGTTGGGTTCTAGACGCTGCACGATTCTCAGATGTTTATTGTTACTCGCTTTCAGTTGCCATAATGTCATCCGATATTTGAATGGTTAGGTACCTATGTTAAATCCGAGGTTAAATCTATTATTGGGCGATATACGTACTGGCCTACAAAAACCATTATAATGATATGTACTATGATAATGACTTCTTGAAGACATCAAATTTAACAAGATACGAAGAATTGCATACGTTTTTCACGACTTGTAATCCGGCTTATGTTCAATAGCAACGATCCTTGAAGTCAAGTTAGAAGAGGAACAGGCAAATAATATTGTTCATAGATAGGATGTGCCATAAAAACGCATAGTAAAAATCGTGAAAAAAAGTAACACTTTCCATACCATTTTTTTTGACAAAAGAAATTCCAGTAATTTGATCACTATCCAAAACACACTTTTTAACGCTCCAAATAAAAACTTAAAATAATAAAGGTTGCTTTTATTAATTAATCAGCGCCTCAAAACTCATCTCAGTTGAACTAAAAGTTTATACCGATTTTGAAATAGCTAGAAATGAAATTAATGTAATGAACGGCGTACATTTATGTATTAATATACAGGGTGTCCTGAACGACAAGGTTATTTGATTATTATATTGAAAATTAAAATCTGCTTCCTGCTTGAAATAGATGATGACCTTACATGCACAATATATTAGTTTGCTGAAATGTATTGTAGAATGTAAATGTAATTGTAAAATGTATTGAAATCGCCCAAACAGGGGGCACCTGTAGCATTCACATATCGATTCTGTAATTTGTTACTTATTTTGTGGTTATGTTTTAACATGAAATTTATTTTGGTTTTGTTTTTTAATTAGATACCTATAGGCCAACTAATAAATACAAATGTTACAATGGCTGACAAATCACTTTCCTCGTTAGCTTACTGTTATAGGAACATCAAGAGGAATATAATTACAAACGCTTGCTTCTAGTGCGAATCCAAGAGTTTCCATAAAAAAATAATTAAGTTTTCGCTTTTCAAAACTGCAGAGCATGACATGATTTTTTGAGCATCCTGTATAGGTTTTTTGGAACAGTTGTTACATATATTAGGTACGACCTTTTTCGTCTATCTTATAATTTTGTAAAAGAATATATTTAATTGGCTTATAATGTCTCACCATATAGTGGTGGACGAGGTGGTAGATAAGAAAATCTTGCTAGCCTCGAGGCTAGCCTGTTTAATAAATAAATTTTCCATTGTGGTGTCCGATATTATGAGTAAACCCGAAGTAAAGTGAATTGAATACTCTAAATATTTCTCTGTCACTTCAGGTTTAAATAGAAGTGACCATTTATTGCAAAACTTAATTGACTAACAGACTGTCTATTTTTACATTTTTGGATTCTACAAACAATTTTGCCAATTTCGTTTTTATTTTTTCCTAATGTTATTTGAACAGATACAAAAAAATAAAAAAACACTTTCTCACTGCCACACAACTATTTGTGAGACTATTATTATTTGAGCTCTACAAGACAGCCTCGAAGACAGCATTGAGAGATTTTCAATACAATGATTCGTTTCAGAGAAATCATCAACTATATTTTTTTATATGGTCTGTAAAAAAAGTACCTACATACTGTATTTAGTAGCATTTTTTATTACGAATACGATGTATGGCACCCCAAAAAAAAACAAAAGGTGGAAACTGAAGGTTTAAACAGGATGGTGCACCCACACACAACACCCTAATCGTGCAAGAATACCTATGGGACATATTTTCCATTTTCCAGAAAATTTGTTGACAATCAAGAGCCCCCCCCCCCCCCCACTCTATGGTGTGCCACACCTAATTCATGTGTTATGAGCCGCTACTGTTTTATATTGACAAGATTACTAATAACCATTGAGTTAGGAAACTAATGGAGGGAATCAAATGCTTGGCCAGGCGTAGACCACGGGAACCAAAAGTGGCCTCTAGCTGTGATTAAAGTACCACACCACTTCCGTTATCATTAGCGTGTCACTTCAGTGGCGTAGAGATATAATTTTCTTTCCACTAATAGGAATAAAAAAAAAACGTATAGAAGGAGTAAAATACATGCTCGTGGTAAAGTAAACAAAATAGACAAGGATGGGAAAGTATGTAGATTTAATATAATCATTGATTACAAATCTAAATATACATCAATGTGTTCCAGTAGTATAATTAAGGCCAGTTTACTATAGCCACTACAACTTGACAACTCCCATTAAATTCACTGTGTTGATCAATAGCTACAATTGATTGGTTGGTCTCAGGTTCATTACAACGGCAGAGAGATTCAATAATAATTTATTGTTTATTGGTCTTAAAATGTATCCGCACTCATAAAAAAACTTACACCTGATATCCATATTATAAACTCACACAGTCACACGTTTAGCTGCAAAAACAAGTTTTGATAGTAGGTACCTACTGCATGTTTGATGAACATTTTCCGCCTTTCCGGTGCAACCTTTGGTCGAAATCACAGTCAATGAAGCAAATTTCGAGAGCTGTTCTTGAGATATATTTACAAATGTTAGGTAACCATTTTGCTCGAAGTACTGGTTCGTTTGGAAAACTAAGAAACATAAACTGGGTACCTACAACCTCGCCTACAACATGATAAATGACATACGGCAGTTAGTTATTTATATAAACCAGAGCACAAACCGATCCGAAATTATTAGGTACTTTAAAATGGCAAATTTAATAAAATTTGAATTTGGTGGAAAACTGACAGTGACAGGACCCGCGTTTTCATATGTCAAATAATGTCGGCCAAAATGTACCTTCACGGGAACCTATCCACGCGAGTGGCCTCTATCTGTGGCAACTTCCGTCTACAAAAATTCTTACCCCCTCTACCATTATATTCCCTCCATTAGTTTTCTAACTCAATGCTAATAACACATACTCGAAGTCGAACACATGTTAAGCTGTCATCATCAGAGAGTTACTCTGGGCATTAGCAGCAATTCATTTGTAAAATTTTCAACCTCAATATTTCCTTGAGTATCAATATAAATTTATATTTTTCCTCTAAGATTAACATTAGAACATTTGATTCAATTGTCACACACCGTATATAGAACTATATCTCCCCAAAAGCTTACCTATCTTTTTCAGCATCCAAGGAAATCGTAACATCATTCGTACATGGACTATTTGGATCTTCAATGCAACTGCAGTCGTCCGCTATAACAATCTGCTTATCCTCGACCGACTGCAACTCCCTCAACCTTCTATCTGCCTCTACGCTAGCGACGACCAACTCGTGCCACGCCAATACCGTCGACGCACAACTCCAGCAGCACTGAAGTGGCAAATGATCGGCTTCAGAAACTTTAATCGGCAAATACGTGTTCATCTTATTCGCTAGATCGTTCGAGATTCCCTCCTCGCTGTATATTCCAATAATTCGTTCGTTCGGATTTGCACACAATCTGCATATGATATTAATACTGATTAAACCGGATTCCGGTAGCATTTGAACGAGGACTTCATTGTCCTGACAATCTTCTAGGTCTCTGTCTACGCCCTCCGGAATTATAGAAGCTTCCCGTCTTTCCATTATTATCGTTTAAGTAAAAAATCACAGCGTTTTTTCTTATAAAAGTCTTTCGAAGTCATGAGTATTTGTTGATATTTTATGTTGCAGTGTTTATTGTTCTCCAAAGCACAAAATACACCGCTTAAAAATGTGTGGACACAAACGAAATAAATTACAAGATGGCGTTCATTTTCTTTTGCTTAATCTGACAGGCGTATGGCGCCGCGTGGGCATTAAAGGGATGCTTTTCCTTGTATTAAAATCATTGTTTGATTTGTGCGGTTTTGCAAGTACTTATTAAAACAAACATTACGGTACGGTAGTTTAAGTTATAATTTTTATTAGAAAAATGAAACCTTATTTAAATTTGGCGCCTTGACAATAGGGACTCACTTCAGAGCAGATGTATTCAAAAGTATTGGTCGGATTCGTTCATTCAGCTACATATACAGCGTGTTCATACAAACCGGGTTATTACAAATTTGATATGGTATTGTGTAACGGCTTAGTTACATTTACAAGCGTCGAAGACCTCCCTTCCTTAAAATAAAATTGAATGAACCTGTAGGGTACTTAGCCCCCACAGTGTTGTAATAGATACTTTAATTCTTGGATCTAGGTAAAGATACAGATACAACTTAAAATACAAGTATCTAGATACATCACAACACTGAGCCCCCAGGACCTACGCAGTCACATGTCAAGGGTTAAGTAGAAAAATGGATTAGCAATTGGATATATCAGCAAGGTGGCTCTTTTCTCTTTTCTAAGACACAATATAAAGGCGAGCTAAAAACAAATGCACACACATATAAATATATATCTGGCGTGTGTCAAGTCGAGATCGCAAATATTCAACAATTTTGACCATTGCTTAATAAATCCAAGTTGGTTATAGTCAAAGTTAAAAACAAGTTTAGGATACCTATCCATTCTAAGGGCGAAATAACAGGATGCGACCCATCTTTGGTGTAATAAAATCCTTTTGAGAGCAAGATAGAAAATTACATGGCCTTGCAAGACAAATTAAATGTTAACAGAATCTCGCCCCCGGGATAGGTAGCAAATTATGGACCTTCGCGACATTTCAGAAGGGGCAAGCTGTCTGCGCCGTATTGCGTATGTTTATAATTTATTTGTGTTTTGTATATATTTCATAATCTTTTTTGAAACTGACATGATTTACCATTTACCCTCAATGCATTGTTTATGATGTGTTACATTTAAAACTGATTGATTTTGAATCTCAATTGTAGGCTTGAATATCACACACGTGAGACAAGTTATGAGTCCCAGGGGTGAGATTCTACTACAAAAACTCTTCGGTTTATGTGCGATTGCGTTATAGCGGAGAGACAGCGCTATCAATTCGGTAGAAATACAGCAGGCATTGCTTTAAACCTATTACAAGGGATCCTGCATGACAATAACATGCTCCTATTTGATCAGAGGTTTTATTTAAAAAATCCAATGCAATTAGCGATTTTTTTCACCCATGCTAATAATAGTTTGTAAACATTTAAGATATTAGTTAGAATAAACTAAGTACTTCAGTAGTCCTACCCATTATTACTGTTGTTTATTGTCAGGAACAACTTTTGCAAGTTTCTAATGCGCCATAAAGAAAATGTGTGTTTCAACATATTTATTTCACTTTTATTTTCAAAATCACATGTGATCGTCACCGAAACTCAACAGAAACATTCTTAAAACAAAGAATTATGTATAATATATACAGAACCACATTATAAAAGTACTTCCTACTGAGACAATTGTCCAAGTGGTAACTAAAGGTTTAGCTGTTTGTCGACCTTAGTTTATTTTAAGGCTACTGTAGAACAGTCTTTATGTAAATATAACGAGTGTTAACATTCCACGGAATATATTTTCCATTTTTATTCTAAAACAATTTACATTTTTTGCTACAGCTCCAAAAAAGGAAAAATATAATCCACTTTCAGCATTTTATAAGTGCAAGATATTATCTTATTGACAAAATAATTTGGCGATTTTAACAAACAGCGATGCAATTTTATAAAATCTCATTTGTAACATTATTAAATAAGAGCAAACAACTGCGGTTTATATTTATTCAATTTTGGCTTAACTGAAGAATCACAAATTAAATAAACGAAAGTTTGTACATATAAAATAAAGTTAATAATATGATACAAATAAATGGAATATATTTTCAACACTATAAATGCAATAGAAAATATACTCTACTATATCACTCGCACATGTCATCTACCATTTTCTCCATATCTACATCAGCATCAATATCTTGCTGCTCACTGGTCACTGAAGCATTAGTATCGACGTGGGCACCATTCTCAACTGCATCTGAACTGGCCATAGCGCCCTCACTGTCCAGGCCTTCGGGAGATTTCAGTTGCATCAGCTTATCTCTCAATTGATCAAAGACTTTTTTGAAACTTTCCAAATTTGTAAACGTCGATCTTTTGCTATTATTTAGAGCCAATCGTTTCTCAGCAAAATGATTCTCAATATCTTTGATCCATTCTTCAATTTGAGAAATAATTTCGTGGCGTTTCAAATAGAAGTGTGCGTGAATCACGTCTTTAAAGCACGGACAAGGATTGATGATCTGTTCTAACATGGCCCATCTGACGGTAGCTTGCCAGATATTTTGATTATATTCTCTAGAGCTCTGGGTGCCCGCTGCCGTGCCTCGCGATCTCTCATAACCCGGTTCGTTAAAATATGGTTCTGGAACTAGAATTAAACTTTGTATCGAAACTAACACTTGTAAAAAACTAGAGGTTTGGGTATTCCATTTCTCCTCCGGCCTTCCGTGCCACGTATTTAATACTGAAAGACACACTTTCCCGTCATTATACAAATTTGGATTAAATCTAACGGTGCGGTGCCCTGTCGTTTCTAAATTTATGTGCATAGGGGATAGTGGGTACTCTGGGGGGAAATAAACGTCTAACTCGAAACATCCGTTAGCGTAAGGAGTGTCGGCTGGACCCGTAATAAGGACTTTCATTATATCTAACCTATCAGTATCACAACGTACAAATACTGAACTACTGTAACTTAATGGTAAACTTGTCGCCAAAGTGACCGCCTCCTGAGCCAAACGTTTGACTCGCGCCGGATGCGATTGATCACCGGCTGACCTTGCGTTATTTTCAAAATGATGCGATATTACGAATTTGTATCCTCCTCCTTCCGGCAATTCTTGAATCATTTCAAAGGTATCTGAAAATAATAATCATTTATTATGTTTCTTACACAGCAACCGTAAAGGAATTCATGATTTATGGCAAACAGTTTCCCAAATTAATCCTCTGCTAATAATAGTAATTAATATGAAGCAAAAGTATTCCAAATAAACCCCTAAAGAGCATCTAAAAAAGCGGCAGAGCACTCCGGTGTGACCCTATGGGGCCATTGGATTTGACCCATTTTCAATAATAATAATAATAATAATATAATATATATTTTCACAATAAGACCCAAGCAGACATAAATATTCACACGATTCTTAGGGGAAAAAATGAGTCATACAAATTGGGAAAATTGCGAAATTCTGTGAAGGTAAGTACTATACAATAATATAATGATAACATTCTGCTAATGAATATGGTTCTATCTCTATCAGTAATTTTTTGATTTCTGTCTTAAACTTATCGAATCTATTTATAGCCTGTATATGAATGGGCTATTTATTGAATAATGAAATGGCCGCATAAAAACAATTGGTTTCAGTTAGAGTAAGTCTATGTTTCGGAAATATGTATTTGCCTGTTCGAGTCTGCATCTCCAATTTTTTTTTGCGCACTTTCAAAAATGTGTTGATTTTTAAATAAAAAGATACTTCATAGATGTACAAGGCATATAGTTAAAGGTTATGTTTCTTGTGTTGTTATAAATACTTTTACTGCATCCGACGAGTGTCCCCAAAACACTAAACCAAATTGCATCACTGTCTGCACATTAGCAATAGGCTTATTACATGTGGCATTTGGTCAACTGTGCAGTTTGAACCAAATCGGTCCAAGCGTTTGGCACGTGTTCACGGACAGACGGACACCAGCAACTCCCCTATAAAGCTTGCTTCACAAAATTTTGAAAAGAAGAGAATGTAGCTTAGTCATGTGCAAGGAGGGAATAGTTTGCTGAAAGACATGATTGCAGGAGCCGTGGAGGGTACAAAGAAAAGAGGAAGAAGACGAGTGAAGATGGTAGACGATCTGAAAGAGGGGAGAGATTATGAAAAGAAAGGCAATGGATAGAGAGGAGTGGAGACGGGAATTTTTCTACATTAATCCAAAGACCTAATTTTGTTGTGTTAACCTACAAAATTGTGTAAAGTTAAATAACTAAAATTTTTTTTGGATAAAATGGTTAAGTATTTTGATTTCTTTAAAATTTTGGATTCAAATTCGTGGCTCCATTGGGCTCTCCGCAACCGTGAGAGATGCAGTGTAGGTTAAATGTTGAAATTCAAAAAAATCTTTTAACACCGAGATATCATCAAAAAACTGAAAATGTCAAATTTGTTTTCATTTTCCCTAGCTTAAACAGACCAAGATGAACGTTTCCTGTTAGCATCTTTTATGGCAGTGGTTCTCAAACTTATTTCCATAGCATCCCCTTTCATAAAACTAAAATTACTCACGCCCCCCTCCCCCATCCCGATTAAAAAATAAACAGTGCTGTTACTACAAACGTATTTATTAAAAAAATTACAGGGTGAGTATTTTTTCTTTATGGAGACTCTGAAACCGTAAGAGATACAGAGCCGTTTGGGGCAAATTTATGCAAAATTGTATGGTGATTAATTTTCCCTTCCAAAAAGTCTTGCAGGTCTATAAATAGCGAAGTTATGGCCAAAAAACCGAAAAATGTCATTTTCAAGAATACTTTGGCGTTCATTAATATTCAAAGATATCAACAAATAATTTTAACAAAAGCTTGGTAAATTTTTCTCAACTTTCTGACGGCGCTAAAATAGTATATTAAGATACAAGTGTATAATCAAGTCTTTAAAGCACGCGCAACGAGTTTAAGGGCACGACGCAAAGCGGAGTGCCTTTAACGTTGCAAGTGCTTTAAAGACCAATTATACACGTGTATCTTATAGTATTTTTTATTATACCTGCAGTATAATTTAAAAATAGGAAATACAATGAAGTCATATTGACGTTATACTCGAATACATGTCTAATTAAGTGGGCTGGGTGTTCGTAATTTCACGATTGCCATGGAAATGTCACTTTACGTTTGCTTATAAAAATCATCGTCTTTGTGAATTAAACGATTTCCGTTGAAAAATACACCGTCCATTAAATCGATTGTTGTAAAATCTAAACAAACGTTGGTAGGTGTAAAATCCAACTCCAGTAAAGCCTATTATAAAGAATATGAAAAGTTGTTTCCATGGATGAATAGGAAGTTACTTACGAATACAGTCTTAAATGCATCCATAATGCTGGCATATATGAAGGAAATGTCAAAGGTATTTAAATCTTCTATATTTTGGTGCATTCATTCAAAACTTTAAAGCAATGCTGCGATTAAAAAGTGGAACAGATTTGGAAGCATACCCTAAATTACGCGCGTTTGTGAAAGCTTCAACCAAAGGATAGGTACAAAAGCCAAAGAAATGTTCTGCATTTACAGAAAGCGACCTAAGAGGATTTTTTATTTCATCCAGATGACAGTTTCAAAAGTCATACTTGAAGTATCGTTACTTAGCAACTTTAAAGCACGTGTGTTTTAAAGGCCTTTTTTTAAAACGGAGATTGTGATTCAGGTATAATAAAAAAATTGTTATGGCCCATAAAATATTATGTTTTTCAATCAAGTCGAATATTGCATCCATAACATCAACGGCTTTTAAGGTCGTTTTTAGTTCATTCGAGATCTCTTCTTTTATAGCACATTAGCGCCATCATATATCGCACACTGGCAACATTGTGCAACATCAATGCTTTCATCAGCATAAAAAGGCGAATTTACCAAATCATCAGAGGTCTCGCGCCACCTTTAACAACGCCTTACGCCAGGGGGGAGGGTGCCCCCCAATTTGAGAAACACTGTTCTATGGGTACTGTTTTTCGGAGAATTTGAATGTTATCAGAATCTCCATCACATGCTAGATGTAGAAGCTACAATTTTGTATTATTGAAAATGCGCTAAAAATTTCGATGAACAATTTGTGAAGTGGTTTTAAAAAATTTAATTTGCGATGACTATTGCACTGTTATAGATGTATAAAAGCTTAAAATTCATCATACCTGATAACAGAATTCTAAAATTTCCTAATTATTGTGTAAACAGGAACAGGTAGATTGACAGGTGGAAAACTATTTTATATAAAAAGCTAGCAGATCATGCGAACTTTTTAGCGCCTTTGGGAAATTTTGTTTTTTAGGATGGGATGCTCTATTTCGGAGGCTGCGCCACCTCACCTCATTTAAATGTCCCGCTCCCAGATGGGACATAAGCTCTGGTACGGCGGAGCCCTCACCTCGCCCAATATATTTTTTTAACAGTATGAAATATACTTTACGAACTATTCTCATACCTACCAAATATACAACAAAAATTCCAGCAAAGTTCTTTTTTGCATTTTTCTATGAGATTAGACAGATTAGAGTTACTCTTAACAAAAGAGACAGATCTATACAAGTGTGGGTTGCTAATAACTTTGTACAGTTTGCTTACAATAGTTTACGCATGCTGGTGCCAACCACTGTTTATTAACCTCATAATCACCTCTTGGAAGTTTTCATCGCGATTTTAATTATCCGATTTAAACAATATTTCAAAAACTACCCGAGATCTCGCGAGATTGCATTCATTAGTCATAAAGTATATTTCATACTGCTAATAATAAGTTTAAAATGTCATGCAAACATAAATGACAAAAGCGTATTTTCCTCCTAATAATATTAATGCTATGGTGTTTTCTTGCGAAAATCATGATTGCGTTCCTGGGATTCAAACTGTAGGAAGAACCAAAAGAGGCAGGAATGAGGAAGATACATTGGAGAAGACTAAATTTCCCACAAAAAACTCATGTCTATCATTTGCGCAAGAAAGCTAATTATGGTGAACCAACTTATTGGTTAATGTGAGTAATCAAAATGAGTCAAAATGCTTTAATACATACCAAACTGCAAATGTTTCATGAAGGACAGGTATCTTTGTTCAACCGATGAAGATAATGGATAATCCATGTTAGTTTCCCGCAACATATCCTGCTCGGTGTCTTCTAACCTGTCAGTAACCTCTTTAACTAAATTGGCCGTTGATTGAATATCTGGCATTAGTTGAGCTAGACCCTCGTCTCGCTCTAGTTCTTCTAATTGTTCCCCTAACTTTGGTTTAATTACAGTTTTTGCCGGCTTATTACCGAATCTACAATTTGCGTGTTAGCAGGCATTAGTACAAACGAAAAAAAACCGACCTTAATTTTGAAGCGTAAGTATCCACACAGGTTTTCATATTTTTTAACAATGAGCCGACAGATGGCCCGCTGTTATGCACTTTTTGAGGGAGAAGGAGTGACACTAACTGGGAACTTAGTGCGAGTGCTCTAAGCAATTGAAGTGCTGCCCTGTATAATGGTATATGGCGCGCCATGTCTAAAACTGTTAAGTTTGTTTAGAAAGAAGTCCCTTAATAACCCGCTACATACCTGAATCGTTGCGGAGGTATGAACTAAGGGCAGGAAGTAGTGCGCTATTTGAAAGTAAATGATAAAAAATGGTGGGGAGAACGCTATCAGCAAGCTCATCACCCGCTTCTCCCTTTGGATTGATATAGCTTGCAAGTACTTGTAATAACACTGTGACATGCTCTTCTTCGCTACGTTGCTTCAACAGGGCCTGTTCCACATTCCAGCTTTGTTGCGTTGATCCAGTTCCAAAACCAGTACCTGAAACTCAAGGTTTATAAAGTGCCAAAATTATTTCCACAAACAAACCTTTTGCCCAATACAGTTGTGTGCGCTCATCCTTTAATGTGGCATCTTTATCTTTGGATAAGTCTTTATCGTTTCCCGTTTGTGTTTGATGGGTGAAAATCCCTAGGCATGCCAGTATAAGATGCACAACACCCGTATTAATACTAATTCTTCTCAATAACCGGCCATCATCTGTGCTAAGAGGTGTCGAATCGTACAACTGGCGAAGAACTTCGAATGGTAAAGTAGGCAAGGAATCTGCTAACGTTGATTGAAAGATATCACCTCCTGTAATTTAAGTGTGATACTTCACATCACAAAACTACCCAACAAACCTTCTCCATCGTCAGTCACTCCCAAAACTAAGCGCAATAAACAAGACGCCTTTTTCATATCTTTAAGCAACATCTCTGCATAACCCGGTAGCCGCAAAAACAATCCAAATGCGGTAAGCGAGTGCGTTGGAACATTTGGAATCAGTCCAGCAGTTTTTGATGGGGTAGTTGATCCGGACGTTTCCTCCGCATCTTCATAAATGTCATCGCTAGCGGCTAAATATACAAGTTTGACAACTGACCCACATTTCGCATAAATACCAACCTTCCACTTTAACCCAATCAGATTCGGATTGCTCCGACGACGATTTTTCGGTAGGTGATGTTCGGACAGTTTCCGGATAAACAGCTGGTAAGTGTTGCGCCAAGAGCGCTAAACCGCCCACGGAGGTAAATACCTGCAGGGCGCTACTAAACGAACGCTGATAGATGATCGGGTTTATTTCGCTTTTCGCATTTTTGTCCTCGGAGCCTAGACGAATAAGGAAAATTATAAGTGAGAGTTAATAGATGTCGCCACAGACAAAATAAAATATTGAACTTTGAGAATGACACAATGGTTGTGACCGTTGAAGTAACAAAAAATTTAAGAAACTCAATAAAATGATCAAAAAGTATGCCCTTCAGGAGTGGTAAACTTCCTCTTTTAGTGGTTCACTAATGATGACGAAACGCGTACATTTAGGTTAAATTAAATTAAAGTTGCCTCTTTTTGTGAATAAAAAAAACCGTATTTAGAATGTTTGAAAAATCTTTGAACTTTGGTCCTCATTTAACCTACGTTGTATCTCTCACCATTACGGAGACCCCCAATGGTGAGTTAAGAATTTGAACTATTGCGTAAACAACAACGTTATGTATTTATAGACCATATTTCAGTCCGAACACCAAAAATAATGACTGCGACACCCTGTAAGTATATGACAATAATTTATTAAATGGGTCTAGGAGATTCGTTTACGAAATCAGATCAAAGTTAAATCGTTTCATTTGAATTTGTATCTTAGTGTTGTTTTTCTTTTTAGCAATGTAATTGTGTAGTTTATCGCTTGGGATTATTTAATTGAGATAAGATGTTTTAACTAAGACACATCTGGGCAAGTTTGCGATAAGAAGTTTGATCAGGCAAAATTTAATTAACGCACGTGTTCTTATCACTGTTAAGAGATAACGGAGTTTCAAAAATTGCGCGTTTCATATTGGAGAAGTGGGGACGTTTGGTGCGTTTTAATGTGATTGGCGAATTATTAAAGTGTGCAGAAGAAGTTATGCAATCTTATTAAAAGATTTAAATTATCATCAAGTGACGTAGTAAAAATTTGTGGAGTTTTTTTAAACGGTTTATCCGTATTCAGAAAAAGTTATTTCAAGTGTGAATAAACAAAGAAGTTATTAAGCCGAATACAGAGTACAGACAGACCAACATCAGCGAGATTTTGTTTGATTCGGCTTCGTAGTACTTCAAAACGTGTATTTCCGGCAAAAAAGTAGGGGGGGTGTCTTCCCCCCAATGCAATACCTCCCTTGTTCATCAACCCAACAAAAACAGAGCTAGTTTTCTCTTCACAAGAAAAAGAAAGGGTCTTCGAACTCCCCTGCTATTCCATGAACACCTCCCAGTTTCAGAGTCAGTGCAATATCTAAGAATCACCACTTGACAAAAAACTGAATTGGAGCAAACATATACAGCTCAAAGCCGAAAAAGTGAATAGGCCTCTCTGTCAAAGTCGCCGCGTAATTGGGAGACTTTGAGGAGCATCCCGAAGGCTGTCTTGTGGCTGTACACTGCCGTGATAAGACCTATGCTCTGTTATGGAGCAATTGTCTGGTGACCTAGAGCCAGAGCTCAACCAACCTGTTTCCATAGACAAGCATAAGAACGGAATCGAATGACCCTGAACTTGGCGCATGCGCAGACTTCATGTTCAAAGTGACCCAGAATGGGCTTTACATTACTACTTCATGGATATCCTGTTTTAATACAATGTGTCATCCACAACCACAGCAGAAAAACTGTTATAGTGGTATTCAAAAACCTCAGAGATACTTTCAAAAGCCTTGGAAGGCTATCAGAGGCTCTAATCAGAATTTTATTTAAAAAAATGAACTTGAGTGTTTTTCTTGGCACTTAAGTTTAATTTCTTGTAGTTTGCACAGATACAAAGGAAAATCAACAAGATAAGTGCTCTACATGTAAAAGCTTTTTTTACATGCGAAGGTTATTGATTTGATGGTCCAAAGTACTGACTGAACACCAAATCAGATTAACTTACATCTTTTCCATATGTTGCGTCCCCAAACTAGAATAAAATATCCATTCGTTTTTCCTTTAATGAAAATACCCTGCACATAACCATTTTGCCCGTGCCTGTATATATTCCTACTTGTTACGTGTACGCGCATGAGCCGCAGAAGCGAAATGTGTACTCGTCGCGCAGAATTCGTCCCATTCTTCGTCGAGAACTCGCCAATTTATTGTCGAGAAGCTCGTCGACTCCTCTTCGTTTAGAAACCGCCATTCATCAATGGCCGACTAGCTTCGTCGTTCGCATCGATTGATCGATCAAAAGTAATTCAAGATGTCACTGCAACAACCCTGAACCTCGACCAAATCGCAGAAAAGAGCAATCATCGCCATTGCAATACCGTCTTTGTAAATAGCGGACTTGGAAACAACACGTAAGTTCCTTTGTTTACATTATCCTTTCGTAACTTTGCCATTTTCCAGTAGTGCGTTGTGTCTACGCCAACCAGATTAAACATACATTTATTTACTTTGTATTTTTTATAATAAACACGTTTACGTTTGTGTCAGTATTCTTTCATACCAATCATACGAGACATTGGAAGCAATTTATAAATAAATTACAGTCCATTCCATTTTATCATCGAAGCCCCTTTGTATGGTACACCATAGATGCAATTAATTTGACCATTATTGACCTAATGAAGTAGAGGATAGAACGTACGATTTCGTGAGAAGGTGTAGTATTAATTTTAGATAACAGTAGACAGCAAACAGACCACAAAGAACACCTACACAAGGTCTTCACATGCAGAGATGACAGAAATATACACAGGCTAGAACGCCAATAGGTAAGGATGCGCGAGAACAAAATTACACCTCTTTACTGTGTGAATCAGATGTTGGTCCACTTCTGAGCTTGCGCAATGCGCATTTCATGAGCTTACAGATTCGATCACTGAACTGTGTAATTTCTGTGAATCCAGTTTTATTATTAACGCTATTAACGGTTGTTTTATCTGAAGAAAAATCAAATAATTCGACACATGCCGAATAAAGTGTAATAGCTTTGCGGTGTCTTACTGCACAAACTCAGCGATGCACCTGCGCGAAATCAATTAGTGTATTTTCATTGCATTAGCATTCCATTTTTTTAGATCAGTGGCAGACACATACAGAATACAATAATCCATGGATCTAATTTGGCTGTTGCGCGCATGCGTGATCAGTATACCACTTTTATTAGAGTAGATCTTTCACAGAAATATTTCTCGAATTTTATTGATTAATTTTGTTGTGGCGCACATATCTGCAAATCTGGCATGAAATATTTTAATTTAAAAGAAAAACCTATCAATGCTAAGCAACTTTCCCAGAAATCCATTGTAATTAAAAACTCAAAGGAAATACATATGTCAAAATTTTCTCTGCGTCTGGCACAACCATTGAACTATAAACAACGTAACTGGAAGAGAAACCTGTATAGGCAGCAAGTGCATATCGTTGAAGCTGTGCGACTGAATGAGGTGGTGGTATAACTATTTCAAACACTCTCATCACGTTCAGTTTGTTTATTAGCACGCCTGATAGAGGCAGACAATACGACTGTATGAATTTAAGTGAAATAGAAAAATTATGGCAATGTTACTAGTGTGAGAGAGATAAAGATACCATCACTTGTCTGGCTTCACTAATAATATGCTTGTTTCCCTTCCAGTTACTAGTATATAGTTCAATGGGCACAAATGGTGTATCTCATTATTAATTACCCCAGATTAATTTGATTTAAAAACATTGCGTCACAATTGACCATTCTTTTAGCTGCAAATTATACTAACCTTTACTTTGTGAAATAACCAGATGTATGCACGGCCAGTCCGTTTTCATTCCCTTACTTTCGATTAACCGCAACACTTGTCCCAAACTTAAAGCGACGGGCAGGGGTTGATCCGACACGGCGGCACACTTTATTATCCTACCCTCGATGATTTCAGTCGACGAAGTGTTTTCGGTCGCGGTGTACCTTTTCTTTTTCAATTGTGGTGTAGAAGCGGCAAGATTCTTGGCGTCCTTTGCACGTTTGTCTTTTGCGGTAACACCGGCGGCCATACTTAGATCGGAATCGATAGTTATTCCCCACCACCCTTTCATGGGCTCCACCTTAAAGTTAACCTCCTTCTTAGCGCTGCCGCTGTTGTCGATTTCCACCGTTGTCGAAAAGGAGATGTGCTGCTCGATGATGTCGGCTAAAAGAGTGTTCGTGCCCAAATACAAAAGCGCCTGATTGTGGGTCTGTTTAAATGCCGGATGGAGTGGCAAATACGAATAAGAGATGGCACTGTTCTTGTAAATCGTTTCGTCCGCATTAATGCTGACGGGAACCTTTTCATTTTCGAGCAGAAGTTGTAATATGAGTCGACGCATGAAACCGGAGATTCCGTTTCGTTGTTGAGATATAACTTCGCATAAGATTTTCGCGAGAAGTGCTTGATTGTTTGAATGACACAGGCAGCATTTTGTTAGAAACCGCACACAGATCTCCTCTAGCTGTGTGTGCACCTCGGACTTTAAATTTGATCTCTTAGTGCAAGGACGTTTACAGAGCCATTGGAGTAGAGGTAACCAAAATGACGAACCGTCTTTGGAACCCAACCAATCGCGCATTACTTTTTCATCCGATATATCCGAAAAGAATTTAAGTACAGCCGTCACATTTTCAAGCTTTGAAATTGAATATACACTAGTTTCACTGTTATTATTACAAAATTCTAAAATTGCATTAGTTAGTTTTTTAGGAAGACCCGAATCCAACAATTGTTGTATAGCGTTAGGCGATCGACTAACTAGCGCGATTGTCTCTAACTGCTCGTTGGACAACTCCAACTCGTGAATTTCACCAACCACTAAACGTCCATACCATTCGGATTCGTTTTCGAAAGTTTGCTTAGTGTCATCGGTCATACTCTCAGAATCCTTAAGATCGTCCGAAATTGACGCATTGTGCCCTGTTAATACATTTGGTACTAATACTCCCATTACTTGGAGCAACGAAGAAAAGAGTTCTATTTTAATGTAGCACAACGAACATAGCAGGCAATCCAATGAGTGTTTAAGTGCTACGTTATTCTTTGTTGCTGTGTTTAATGCGTAGATTGTGTGAAATAGTTCGAGATCTATAACAGAGCCAAGATTGCACGAATCGCGCGACTGATTTGCTGTCCATAGAA